CGAGCACGCCAACCCCCCCCCCCCCTCCCCCCCCCTAGGGACGATGAGCAGCACTGACATGGAGGATGGTTGACTTTGGCCGATTGAGGAAAGTCTCAGAAAGGGATCATAGACACTCGGAACACTGAAGGATGGAGCTCTGCGAACCGCCATTTGGAATCCTCTTGATCGCAACACGGTGTCAGGCCAACCCCGCCGGGAGTGTGAGGCAAACCCCGCCGGGAGAACTTCAACAGTCACAGTGGAAGGGGGTCCGGGGGCCCCAAATATGGGTTGCATATTGAGATGAGCCAACTCTACCCAGCGAGTCATGTCATCATCGGTCCTGAGAACTCTACAGAGCGGTGACCTGTCCCTACCCCAACCAGAGACCCGGTCCCACCCCCGGAGCTCACTGGTCACATGGAGGGGCTGCAGAGCACACGCGGCAATGTATCTGTGCGGTAAGCTCAGGTCACCTCCCACCGATCTGCAAGTGACTGAAAAGAGCAATCTCTAAATGTGGCGATCACTCTCACAGGGTATTCCCCCCGCTTAGCAATCTCTCTAACAGGACGGGTTCTGTACATAGCAATCTCTCTAACAGGACGGGTTCTGTACATAGCAATCTCTCTAACAGGACGGGTTCTGTACATAGCAATCTCTCTAACAGGACGGGTTCTGTACATAGCAATCTCACTAACACAACTCTTCACATGAAATCTCTGCACATAGCGTCCCCTCTATCAGAGCAGTCTCTCCACATAGCGTCCCCTCTATCAGAGCAGTCTCTGCACATAGCACCCCCTCTATCAGAGCAGTCTCTCCACATAGCGTCCCCTCTATCAGAGCAGTCTCTCCACATAGTGTCCCCTCTATCAGAGCAGTCTCTCCACATAGTGTCCCCTCTAAACACCCCACAGCAATGTCTACATTTCCTCTCCGGGGCTGTATATAACTTTCTCATTACTTCAGATAACAAAGTAATACAATGTATCTTCTTTAGAACCAGCATTGCATTCCAATGGGGATACTTTCTGGTAAAATTCAGACAGGAAGCCGCAAAGGATTCTGGGTTACATTTTAGGACGAAGTT